GGCTTCCCTCTGGCACCGGGACCCAGGCTTCCCTCCGGCCCCAGCTTTGTCCAGAATGACGTCCAGAATGATGTCTGGTCTAATTAGCATATTACCCTTTTATTATTATAGATAATTGACAAATCTATCTGATATATGTTATTTCTGGAGTCATTTGCCTGTTCCTAATTGTCTATGAATGAGTAGTAGGAGAGTGCTTATTGCTGTAATTTTAAAATCTCTTAGGCTTTTATTTAAGTCTAAGGATTTCATAACAAAAGATCCCAAGTCTGGCTTCTATCAGCTATTGACCAAAATTTTAACAGGACTCTTTTTCTTTTAGCAGTTACTTAAACTTTTGCAGCTACTGGCCTTTCGGGTTTCGGAAATTATTTATTCAGTATCCACTCAACAAATATTTACTTTTTAAATGGCACTGTGCCACATACTGGGGCACAGAGATGAATAAGATACACTCCCTGCTCTCAATGGCAATTATGTATGGCAGCCGGTCTCCGACAAGGCATGTGTGCCCGTGGGGATACTCACAGACTTCCTAAGGGGGCATGGGCATGAATAGTGCTAACAGAATCCATTTTCAGGTCCTTAAACTGACCTGCCAGGAATGTGCTTGCAGGGCAGTCAAACCAGTCCTACTTTTCCACTCCTTTCCCAATCACCCTGTCCCCACTTTACAGAAGACAAAGCTCTTACCCATATGCATGTTGCATATTGCTACAGTTGTGCCAATATCACATACTACCTCCATGTGAAAAAAAAACAAGGGAACAATGAAAATATTAAAGGAAGTCTCCTATGACTGAGGTGCTATAACTCTCCCAGACTTCTCATAAGTAGATGCATCTCTAATACATTTTTATTCTTAAGCAAATTATTTTTTTCACATTTGTAATATAAGTGTATTTTGATCACTTAGTTACTAATAATTATTGTATTATAAAATGCAAGCTGGAAAAACATTTAATACTTAGAGACTGATGTTAGGAAAATTTGTTCAGTTAAAATTTCAATGCATATACTTATTTTTGTTGCAGAGAAATGTGATAGGGTGACAATAAAAGAATTTCACACATAAAATGTTTTATATTACTACATAAAATAAAATTCTATGGGAAAATAGAGTGGAAATATAAATTCTAGAGGGAAAAGAACCAATTTATAATTTTCAACTAAAAGAATAAATTATTCATGTGTTTTTTTCCTGTGGGTGATGAATGGGCATTAAATGCCATTGGTTTTTAGATTCCCTTAGATATACTTAATATATAAAAGAATGTTATGACTTTACATTAAAATTCGATATTTACAAATATACAGAACATTACACCTTTTGTTACCATGGAAATTTGTGATTTTAGGTATCAATACTTTTAACAATAAAGTTTTTTTAAATAAATAAAAAAATATTTTATAAAACAAAATATAGAAAAACAG